TTTACTTCATTCTATATGGTCCTTTAAGTTATAATCGAACAAGCAACTTAATAACTCATCGCGTTAGCCATGAAATAACTCACTAACGTGGGTCTTGAGCATTCAAAAGTGATTCTAGATAAAAGTCTTCTTTCTTTAACTATATTACTTAATTAGTGAGGATCGGGCTCCTAATTAATGACACTCCAGCATGCAATATTTATTTTTCACATATTTTAACATTTCATTTATGTATTGATTCTCCACTACACATTGGTCTATACTAAAACATGTCATACGATATCTTAAAAGGACTCTCAATCATGGACTTCTTTGTAAATATTAATCACTTCATCTTCATGCCTTTACAATATCGATGATAGAACATCTACGTTAGTTTATATTATTTTCTTTGGAGCAAATATGATCAGTAAGAGTTTTAAAAAATAGAACAAAGTTATAAGATCTATGACTGAAACTGAATATTGGGTTATTGCCACCACCTTTGTATAACTTAATTGAGACACTAATTTGCTACACAAACTTGGCATCACCTCTCAATCAACTCTTGTAATAATATCAATGTCACCTATCTATACACTAAGTATTCGACTCATGAATCGAGATTGATATCTTTAATATAAGTTTAATCTTATAAGAATAGAAGTTCATAATAAAAAATTATATAAAATAATAATTTTGTATTCCTTATCTATTCTAATCCTTAATCAATAATAATTTGAGAATTAATCATGGATAATCATGAGTTTGAGTGTCTGATTGAATTTTTTTTCTTCAAAACTTATATAAATATATATTATTTTAATAAAATAATATCATCATTTTCATAAACAAATGAATGTATCTATACGTTGTTGATGATAAATTCCATTTGTTTTTATTCAAAAGAATGTGATAAAAAAATATTGTATATGAAAATAATGTCAAAGTCTCTTTCTTTTCCCTTGGTGAATGACATTGAGACTTCGTCGACGCATTAGACTACTAACAAAACCAAAATTAAAAAATATTTATTGTAATTAATCGATTGGTTGTTTACATTGTGACATATTTATTATCTTTAATAAGTTTAGGGGGTTTGGGTTTGGGGGATACATGTCGATCTTTAACAAGTCTCCTCCTACTGTTGTTTTATTTTCTACCATTTCTATTCACAACACGTAAACTTTTTCTCGGTTTATTGTTGAGATCTACCTAAACAGTGAATACATCATTATTTTGTAACCTCAAAGTAGTTAATAATTTGTAACTATTGATGATTTAGAATGACCTATTAGTAATCTATTGATTTTATTGGTGAAAGACTTTCATCGGACTTTAATCTCTCAAAATATTGCAGGGTTTATAAGTACCTATTATTTTACATTTGTGATTGATTTACTTTCTTATTTTTACCACTTGTTTGGTGGTCTACTTAATTACATACAATATTACCATAGATTGATATTTAATGAGTTTGTATGTAAATTTATTTTACATAAAAGAGGAAAAACATAAATCGCAATGGTAATTTTTTCTTGACATAAATATGATAATTGGTTGATATAATAAATTTATGTTTAAATCCAACTAAATTAAGTTTTTTTTAATTATCTTATTTTTCGTAACTTATAACTAACTTAAGCATCAAAAAATTTATATGACTTATAACTCGATACGATTAAGTCGTGAGAATTACATCCTCATACGTTAACGATTTTGAGGTTTCGCATATCAGATTCAAAATAGGTTCAAAAAATTATATATATTTAAACTCGAAATTGTGAGGGGCTTACAACCACTATGGTGTAGCCTCATATAATCTTCTTGGCATCTTCAAATTAATGTAATTAGAAAACAATACTTTAATGCTCACCTTTAAGAAAAATGGTATATTAATTTATTTCCAAAGCAACATGTCCCCAAATTTTGTGAGTTTGTGATATGAGTTTCAACTTCTCAGTGCCTTCATATGCATCTCCCACGCAGTCCATTAATCTGATTTTAATATGTAATAAATAAAAAATAAATATACATTGAATGAAATCTTAATGCCCCCATACCATAATAGAATGTGTTTAAAGTAATGGCATGACATCACATTAAAAAAATTAAAAAATAATTTTTTACGACTCAATTATTTTTAAAAATTTTATGATGAAAATAATGTAGAAAACTTATTAAGAGTCGACGCATTTTGGGAGCACTTCATAGTCCTTCGTAAGGTTATACATGATGATGACATAACATACTTGATGAAGATTAAGATTTGAGATGAAAAATCAAAATCTAATACTAGTAACAAATATTTATAAAGATAAATAAATATCTGGAGACAAATATTTATATGGGATACAGGAAAAGTGGCAAATAAATAAGGTTGGTGTTAATTAAGCTGAGTATATATATTTATGAGAGATTACCAAAACATGCTATTTTTTTTTCTCTCACAAATCGTTCATAAATTTCAAAACCTCAATATTACCTTTTTTTTTATTATTTCCCTCCTTATTATCTTTAGAGTGGTTATAAGTTAAGAACCAGTTAAATAAAATCAAATTAATAATAAACCAAAATATTTAAAAAGTATAATTAGGAAATATTAAGTATATAAATTAAAAAATAAAATTAAAGTTATGGTAAAAATTATAAAATAGGAAAATATTAAATAATCTTTTTAAAAATCCTCTAACTTTGGGGTTTTTTTAGAACATCCCAAATCTAAAAATTTCTCATAGGGTTTTTTAAAATAATTATTTTACCTCTAACCGCTCTTCACCTGAAAATCAAATGTTAGGGATTTGATTAAATAAGATAAAATAAATAATAAAACTAAAATATTTAAAAATAATTTTAAAAAATTATAAAAAAATCAAAAAGGAAATATTAAGTATATAATATAAAAATAAATTTAAATTATGTTTAAAAAAATATAAAAATAGAAAAAAAATTCTGGAACTTTATTTAAAAATACATTTGGAGCCAAATAGGAAAACAAGTGGAAGGACAAAAAAAATTTAAAATTTGTAAAATAAGAGTTCTTCAAAGGCAAAAAAACGTCAAAAGAGTATATATATATATATATATATATACATCGGTTGGTCCCTTCAACGAATTGGGTCGTCACAGTGGAGAGAGAACACGGGAGAGCAAAGCAGAAGGCAAACACTTCCGTCGCATCGTCTTCGGCAGCTCCGATCTCCCCAACGCTTCCGCCGCGGGCGCCGCAAGCGGATGGCTGATAGTGGCGGTGCTGCCTCCCCCTTGGATACCACCACCGGCCGTCGAGTTAATTCCAACCCTTCGCCCTCCCTGGACGGCGCCTTCCTCCTCCAACTCCTCCAAAACCCCCCGCAACCCTCCCGACCCTCCGCCTCCCACTCCTCTTCCTTTCCCCACCAATGGTTCGACCCCGCCGTAGCTGCCGTCGGGCCCATCGACTGCGACCCTCGCCCCACTCCGCCGCCGCCTGGCCACTTCTCGGCGCCCGTCCTCTTCCACTCCCCTCCATTGTCCTTGCCTCAAGGCCTGCCGCCGGCCCTGTTTCCGCCGCCGGGATTCTTTCCTCTCGGTGGCGGTGATGCCGCCAGCTCCTCCCGTGGTCCAGGTAATCAACCCTTCTTTCCTCTTGACCAACAGAGATTAGGGGTTTCCGCTGGCGTCGTCCATCCTCTTGCTGCCTCCCCTCCAAGTAGCGATCTTGTTGGAATTCTTGGTCACCCGCCCAATGATAGGAATCTCGTGGATCAGACGGCGCCAAGAAGGAATATTTCGAGCTCTCGGGGCAGAGAAGATCGGAGTTCTTTGAGACCCCCACCAGGATTTCAGAAGTTGCAGAATGGCAAGAAATCAACGAGTCGGAGTAGTGATGGCGGAGAGATTCAGTGGAAGCCGCGGGTTGACAGATCCATTGGGTCTATTCATAGGAGCCATCAGTTCCACACCGACGAATCTAATCAGGACGCAGAGCGTCAGGCTATCAAAGAAGAAAACGGAGATAGAATGCACAAGCTGGAGATCAGAAACCAGGGTACACACGTTTCTTTTTACACCAAAAGCAAAGGTTCAGGTGACGAGGATAAATTATGGGAATCACAGATGAATTCTACAACGTTGAAGGTTGATCGTGAAGTCAACAATGTCATGACACATATAAGCAGTTCGGGGTCTAAGGTAAATCATACTTCTAAATTAGAAGCAGTTAACTTTGTCTGTCAATTTATTATACGTGTAAGAGCACTTTGTCTAAGGTAAATCATAATTTCAAACCGGAAGCAGTTAATCACAGGTGTTAAATTACTATATGTGGAATTTATTCAGGTCCTTTTACTCATATGTTGCCTGGATATATTTCAAAGAAGCCATCAGTGCAAAGGATAATCATCATATAGTTTTTAACCTAAATATAATGTGATCATGAATAAAATTATTTGTAATTTGACTTTATTTCCAGTTCCCAATATTTTTGTTTTTTTAATTAGAATACATTTCTATTACATTAAATGATATGCATGATGTTTATACATAGATTCGAACCTGAGACCTATCATTTTATATAATAACGCACTAACCAATCTGGTTGTCTCAACAGAGACAATATTTTAGTTTTTTACTCTTGTAATTTCTGTGTCTTTTTTTTCCACTACCACTAGAAAAATATTATAAGGGATGGTTGTATATACCTAAGGACTCAATCCCATTGAAGTTTATTAAGAGTGAATTACCAAATTAGTGGTCCACCTACTGGATATCTAAGCTGATCTAATCAATAAGCATTGAGTAAATTTTTTAGTTGGCATTGGCTCTAAGCAGTTCCCTGACATACTCTGGTAATTAGACCTCCCTAGATCTACTTGTGATGGAAACATATTTGCATTACCATTCTTTTTCATATTTTGTTCCTAAATCTTCCTTCGAACTTTTTTCTCCTGTCATTGCTTTATCTCTTATGTTTTACATAAAATTTTAGGTTTAAGGGAGATAAGATGCTAATGTAACATAGATCCCTTTATGTGTTTTCGAAATGAAATAAACTTACAATTAAGTGCTTTTTTCTGGAACTACTATTGGATAAACTGGTGATGTTCCACCTCCTAAATTCTTATTGGAAAAGCCAAGGTTTTGAAACCCCTATATGTAGGTCTGAGGTTTGTTTTTTTTCCTTTAGACCTATGTGAGTAATTAACACAAAATAATTATTTTTTGTTTCTTACTGTATTTTGAGTACCTCGATGACATTTTGCAATTTTTTTGTTCAGGACTCTAGGTCAGATCATTTTAGAGGGCATCATGTATCAACTCAACGAATGAGGATTCAGAGAAGGGCAATCCGATGCCGCCATGACATGGAGGCATTGAATTCCAGTTTTCTTTCAATTTTTGAGTCATTAGTACCTGCAGAAGAAGAAAAAGCCAAGCAGATGCAATTTTTAATATCACTGCAGAATTTGGTGAATAAAGAATGGCCAAATGCTAAGCTTCACCTTTATGGATCATGTGCTAACACTTTTGGAGTCTTGAAGAGTGACATTGATGTCTGTCTAGCGATTGATGATCATGACTTGAGCAAATCTGATATTTTGCTAAAGTTAGCAGATCTTTTACGGTCTGGTAACCTGCAAAATGTCCAGGTAATCTGCATGAATTCTCTTATAAAATTTCCAAATTGCTCTGAATTGCATTCAGATGGCTAATTGTTTAATGTGCAAGTTATGCTCACATCAGTAAGCTATATCTTTAAGTTTTGTGTTTTTCCCCTTTTGTTTGGTTGAGTGCGAGGGTCACATTTGGCTTCTACTTTCTGTACTGAAATGTCTATCCGTCCTAAATTCTTATAAATGGTTGATGAAATGGCATATTTTCCACTGAAAAACTGTCTCTTGTAGGTGCATGTCTTGCATTGCAAAGTTGATGGTTTATTTACTTTTCTTGATTCCCATGTGTAATGATTTGAGAAGATTTTCTACTTCTCTTATAGGTTGACATTTCTGTTACGGGTTACCCAGCCAAGTGATTTGTCATTGAGGATGCATACTTTTGCAAGACTGCATACATGATGGCCATTGCATTGCAATTTTAGAGATCGCATGGCAGAATTTGAGCTTATTCGCTCTCTAAGAACTACTGAGCTTTACGGCTACCTAGTAAAAGCATGTGAACTGGGTGTTGGGATCCTTAAGAAAGCATTATCCTTGTGAATGATATGTGCCCCTTAATTGTGTAATCATATTCAGTTATATTCTATTGAATAATTAGCTTTCATAGACATAGCCATCACAACTACCACCTATTCTCTTCTCTTATCCCTGGGTCCATTGAAAAAAGATGGCCTTGTTCATCTAAACATAGAGTATCATTTAGTTTTCCTTCAAACCTTTAGATATATTTGAGGGATTTCTCTTTTGCAGTCTTTTCTAAGAAGTGTGCAATATGAAAGCCTGTAAAAGAGAAGCGATAAAGTATAAGAAACATTTTAATATTCCATGGATTCTAGAATTAAAGTGTCGCCTGCATCTCAGTTTTGACCATTAGCTAGCATGTGCTGGCATGACATGGCACCTGTCGTTGCTAGCGTCACCCACCCTTGAGAAAAAAAGTGCAAAACACAATTGGATTATTTTTTGTCTCCTTCAGCTTCTGTCTCCATGTCCAAACACAACTGCAAATTTAGTTGGTGTTAGCAGCAAATCAAGGTGTTGCATGGAAGAAACCTCTAGATCAAAGAGAAAGAGTAGGTTTCATAATTTAAATAATCTATTGGACTGGATATGTCCAGTTCCTGGTCAGAGTGCTGGTTTGGTTCTATTTAATAGCTTGGTTAACCTTATGCATATACTCAGGTTTGAGCTTGGTCTGATCTGGCTTTTGACTTTTTAGTCAATACATCTACTAGTAATTGACAATTTTAGTCTTGGAAGATGTCTTGAGTATTACATAAAGAATGTGACAGGATGCCACAAGAAAGTTGCAAAAAAGAATGATGCCTTATTCTCTTTCTTATGATGGGATTATGATGTAATGACAACCTGTTGTTCTTCATAATTTTTATCACTTTTATTAGCAGTTTAAATATTTGCTATATTGAAACATCGTAGGTTGAACAGAATATAATGTTTTCTCTTATAGCTGATTTTTATTCATGCTGTGTGCTCTTTTTATTCTTTTGGAACTTTTTCCTCTGGTAAGTATTTGGCTCCATCAGCTCATTTTTTAAAGAGTCAGAATAAGATGTTAATAAAAACAAAAGAAGACAATTTACATATGATCATGGCCTAGTGCTAACTATGATGAAACAATGTTTGTTCTATATTATTTGGAGCATTTCAAGTTGATTTGTTAGGTTTTTTAATGTTGCAGGCACTAACTCATGCTAGGGTCCCTATACTGAAGTTGATTGATCCAGTTACCGGACTTTCTTGTGACATATGTGTGAATAATCTTTTAGCAGTTGTTAACACAAAGCTCCTGAAGGATTATGCACAAATAGATAAAAGATTACAACAATTGGCTTTCCTCGTGAAACACTGGGCCAGGTCACGCCGTGTCAATGAAACATATCAAGGGACACTTTCTAGTTATGCGTGAGTTTCATTACCACTCATACATGTTTGAAATCCTTTTTCGTTTTTGGGCATGCAGTGACCTAATACTGATGTTGATTATGAATTTTGATTTCTTTCCAGCTATGTGCTAATGTGCATTCACTTTCTACAACTTCGCAAACCTGCAATTCTTCCATGTTTACAGGTATGTAGGCTCTTGGTTTTCTCCATGGGATTGTATGATCTATAATGAACAATTGTTTTTTAAGATTTATATTTGCTATGTGATAATTCAAGTCATTATATATATCCATGAAAAGTGCACTTATGATTAGTTTTTGACTCAGAAGGCTAAGCTGTACATGATCTTTATTCAGTGGTTTAAGATGAATTTTCTAATATCTACATAGATACAAAAATGAAATTGCCCTACTTTTTGTCCAACTTGGATGCAATATCTTCTTTTAATTTTCTAATATGCCACCAGTCAGTTTATCGGCTGACAATGAGAATCTATGTGAATATATGTTATTGTGTATCCTGTTAGCCACCTCCATTATTAATACTTTTCAGATATTCTGAAAGGTTATTTAAGTGGCAACTTTGCCAAATCCGGCTGTTGTAATAGCTAACAATTGAAATTTTGTTGAGTTATGCTCCGAGGTAGCAGACAATTTAAAGCTGTTAACCTTAGCAAGAAAATGGGTAATTGATGAGGCTAAAACCATATATAGCTTGCAGCATGACTTAGTTGGGCATAAAATTTCTTAAAATTTTAACTGAAAAATGTTAGGATACTAATATGACTGGTCTATTACTTCTAGTATTTCATATCAAGAGGCTAAGTTTCTGGTTTTGGTCATTCAGCTTGTGTTGGAGCAAGCTATATTGGTGTTAGGTGTCTAAGAGTCCAAAAGAATCTAATATAGAAACTTCAAGAAATTTGAGGTGTGATATGTCAGTGGAATATATATTATCTTGTGAACTTACCTTCTGTGCGATGAAAAAAATCAGTTGGACCTATCATTTGATAATTTTGTTTGTTATTAAATCTGTTTAATGTAGTCCAGTGACTCTAAACGGATTGGGCAGATTGGGCCAACCTTAACACAAGGGGCACTTACACTTCGCAACACTGGTTACACTTTTCCAAACCTGAAGTTGGATGCCTAAGCTTGGAATTTCTTTGAAGCCTTATCCAACCAACTTCAGGTTTGGTGTACTTTGGGTTGGTTAATTTGGTGAGGGTGCTATGTTGGATAGAATTACTCTAGTCGTACATAATAAAATAAACAAGGTGAGTTATATGTAAAATACTGGATTGGGATTTAGGTTAGTGTTAATGCATGCCCAGCTGAAGTCGGAGCTGTGTTAAGGTTTATAATCCTAACAGATTTGGCTAATTTGTTCAAAACCCAACCCAAGGTCTCTTTCTCTCTCCACACAGACACATATATGTAGATATACATCTCCATGTGAATATACAATTATAATAGATAGAGGGAGACAAATACTCATTGGACAAAAAGGCAACTTTTCTTGACAAGTCAATGACCAATCAACATCTTGAAAATTAGTTATCCAATCATTGATATGATTATGCATTTTTGGAATCTGAAGTATTGCCATCAAAATTAAAAAAAAGGGATTAATGTCGTACCATATTTTTGTACTAGTTGATATTCATATTTTTATTATTTATTTTTTCGGTGGTATCAGATGGTATGCCTATACTGCCTGCCAGGGTCTGTCGTACCGAGCTATACCTCCCGGTACGGGCTGTACATACCGGTCCGACAGGTTGTCGGTACGCGGACCGCCTGTTACCGGTCCGAGTGCACTGTAGCACTGTAGCACTGCTACAGTACTCGGCACACCTGGGTGTACCGCTCGGTATACCGTACCGGTACTGGTACCGAGCCCAGGTCAAAATACCGGTACGGTACGGTATTGCGAACCTTGCTGCTTGCTATACTTGTATCATACCAATCCGACAAAGTGTTGAAACTTGTCTCAGATAAAAAATTTTGAAGCTTGATTGCCTTATCAAAATCATGAGATTGTCTGCTTGCTTATCTATCAAATGATGCAAAAACTGAACAATATAGCAATATTTAGTTCCATTGCAATCTTGTTAAATATGTTCCAAGGATATATTAAGTGTGATATCTTTGCAACTTATTTCTCTATTTGACAGGCAATGGATACAACTTACACTGTTACCATAGATAATACTAAGTGCACTTACTTTGATCAAGTGGAAAGGCTACGCGCTTTTGGTGTGAGGAATAAGGAAAGTATTGCACGGCTGCTATGGGCATTCTTCCATTACTGGGCATATCATCATGACTACACAAATGATGTTATATCTATTCGCACAGGAAGCATAATTAGGTAATGTCTTATCACTTTAAGAGTAAATTAGTAGTTTAATGCAAGCATGACATGTAGTATCTAACATGAATGCATTGCACTTTTGCCATCATACAGTGATCTTCAAATTATGCAGCTAATTCTTGTTTTTTTTAAGCTAGATCTGATATTCCAACTTACATTTTTCTGTGCATAATTTTATTAAGTTGTGTACATGACAATATCCACTTTTAGGTGCATGCAAAGATGGTTTTTTGGCTGTCCAAAAGTTGATCCATATATCACGACCAGTACCCCAAGACTGACACCAGAGGCAGATTGCTTCTTTTATGGATATCTGAAAATAATCTATATTATGTGAATGCAATAACCAGAAAGCGGAAAAAATAATATTGTCATATCTTAGCCATATACAAAAGTTCCCACTCGATATTCTGAAAAGATTGAGTAGATTTCAGCACTTTTATGTTAACAATTAGCAAAGAATTTTATTTGTCAGAAAATTTTAAACATCTTATTGGCTTTAGTTATTTGGGTAAGAATACAAGTTCTTACTTATCCATTTCCCTTTTTTTTTGGCTCACTATTTTCCTCCACTCAACCTTTCTCCAATTGTTTGGCCTTAACAAATAGTCAAATGAGACAAGATTTGATGATTGTTTTGGATAACAGTGACATGAAGCTAAGAAATTTGCATGAATCTCTGGTGCTTCTGCTGGGATATTTATTAATCAATATAGTTTGGCACCTGTAACTGAGTTAAGAAGTACAAACTTTATCATTGATACTTCAGATAATTGTTTCTGTGTATACCATGTGCTAAATCCATAAGCAAATAGATCTCTGTTTTGGCTTCTTCTGAAATCTTATTTCTGCAACTTACCTATTCAATTCTCATTTTATTACATTTTAGAAAATTGCTGGTTAGAATATCAATTATGACTTTTCTAGAAAGCAATTGGTGGTGCTTCAAAGAATGCTCTAATGTAGTAGTTAGCTTTGTTTCTTCTCTCTAACAACAAATGGTTGACTTGCAGTAAGCAAGCAAAGGATTGGACAAGACGGATTGGGAACGATCGACATTTAATATGCATAGAGGACCCATTCGATATCTCGCACGACCTCGGTCGTGTGGTTGACAAGTTCAGCATCAAAATCTTGAGGGAGGAGTTCGAACGAGCTGCGGATATATTGCAATACGACACAAACCCCTGTGTCACCCTTTTCCAGCCATACGCAGCGGTATCACCCTCCAGTTGAATTCATTGGAGTCTGACAAAATGTTCCTTTAGGCTCCCACAGTTTATTTAACTTCGGTTAGTAGGAGCAGTTTTCTCTTCTTGGCTCCGTAGTGCATAGACTTGAGGTATTCTTCACATTGTTGTAAATTATTTGCTGCCCATTGCAACAACATATAGGGTGCTGGTGCACAAGGTTTAAGAAGTCGCGTAGTAAATGCTGATTTGATAGAAACCGGATGGCAGATCATGCGTGGTTCGAGTCATTCAGGATTTTTTTATTAGAAAAAGTTCTATGTAACTCCCATCTCTATCTTGAATTGTTAACCATCTCTATGTAACTCCCATCTCTATCTTGAAAAAGAAATGTATAACTCTGACCTATATGTTTCAAATCAAACGTGATAGAAATTTTATATTAATATTTGATGGATTGATTTTGATACTTCAACTTAGGTTATCAATAATAGAAATTTATTTTAATATAAAAATTAAAAGAGTATAAAATGTTTATCGTGAAAACAATAGTAGTTGATATTTATCGTGCAAGAGATGATTCACTTAATAAATTTTAAGGATATATGTTATATTCTTATAATTTTAGAATATATAGAGATTATTTATTTAATAAATTTTAAGGACATATGTTATGTTCCTATTATTCTAGAAATTTGAGTTCACTATTTAAAATTGTTAAGATATTATTTTCCTTTTAGTGGTTATAAACTCAATATATTTATGATTCAATAAAACTTAAACTTTTATATTATGTATAATGGTCTATATAAAATTAATTTAAATATTAAATTTGTAATAATCTTATAATCAAATATTAGAATGAAATGTAGTTTCATGAATTTCTTAAGATTATATATATTTATATTTGTGAGTCCCTTCATATTTCATATTTTAGTAGAGAGAGATATTTTATTATCTTTGTAGATAATCAATTGAAATATGACTATATATATCTAATTCATATAAAGTCTTAGGTTATTGATACCTTTAGGTATAGATAAATGAAGTCGAGAAATAATTAGATAGAAATGTTAAAATTATTAAATCTAACGGGTGATAAATTTTTTTTTTATAAATATGATGAGTCTGAATATAATTTTGATTCTTTTGTTAGATTCCTATAATAATAAGATATTTATGCTTAATATGATTTATCATATGTGCGATATTAGAATAAGCTTGTTGAAAAGTAAAATCATATTATTATGGGAGCTTGATAAGTTATTCTTTTATATTAGAATCAATATGAGAGAAAACTTAAGGATAATTATGTATATTTTGAATAATGTTCTTTATAAGTCAATTATATCAACTCAAAATCCTTTTGAGTTGTGGACTAGTAATAAACTTAACTTGAGATATTTTCATATTTGAGATTATATTACAGGATAAAAATTTTTAAATCACATAAAAAAATTGGGTTTAAGGATTATTCTAAATATTTTATTAATTATCTAAAAAAATTCAAAGGGGTAAAGATTTTATTACTTTAATCATATTACGAGGATAATTAAATCTAGTAATGTAAATTTTCTAAAAAATGATAAAATCAATTGAAGTAAAAAATCTCGAAAGATTAATTTTGATATAAAGGAGATATAAGTTGATAGTCTTTTATTAGTTTCAGTTAGATTGTTGTTCCTCAAATTACCGAATGAATTGATAAGGATAAATAATAAAATAATATTGATAAACTCACACGTGATATTGATATCACTACTAATATTGATAAACTCTCAAGAGAAAAGGAGACATATCATTTTTGTTAATTATATGATATATATATAAGAAACAGATTATGATATAAAATCAAAGGGATCCCTTATTATTTTTAGGAACGTAATGATTTTGAAAAGTGATATGATGCAATAAAAGAAAAGTTAAAATTAATGAGCCAAAATAGTATTTGAGAACTCATTAAATTATTCAATAATTATAAAAGAGTTTTTTACATAAACATGACTTAGAGTGAAATATCGAACGATATAACAACTAAACATATGATCAAATATTTTAGTTATAAAGAATACATCAATTATAATATTTTTTAATTTTTTAAATGATCTCATTAAAAATTATCATAACAATACTAGCTCATTATGATTTTGAGTAACATTATTGTGAAAATAAGTTTTCTGAATGGGGATCTATAT